CTCTTTTTCACCCAGTGTGAATCCCATATGCAAAAAAGCCCACGGTCAGTAACATTGCCTGGACTTGGAGTTAGTCAAGAGGAATGAGCATCTGACAGCCCTGATTCCGTTTATAACCCAGCCAGATACCTCAGCTGGCGAGTGGCTCAGCTTCCTCACCATAAAATGGGTATAATAATAGCTTTCCCTTACCACTGTGAAATATTTAGAATGTAAATCAAGCCAGACTTATCTGCTTCCAAAGAGAATCTTAAACTAGCCTGCATGAGCCTGAATGAGCCCAGATTTCAAGGGGAAACATAAGTGGAAAACACCTAGAGGTCGTGTAATTTAGTGGTTAGAAGCGTGTAGACTTTGGAATGGTACAGATTTATTCGGATGCCAGCAGCTATGTGATTTGGGGAAAGGTTCCTAATTTCTCAAATCTCCCTTTTTTCTCTAGTAAATTAGAACTAACAGTATTTTTCTTTTATAGTGAGGATTAAATGATATACTGTTAACAATGCTTTTCAAACACTTCCACTGGGGTGATCGTTGAGTTAGGAGTGAGTGATCCAGTGCTAAGGGTACCTGCCAGGTACCTAAGACAGTGTGCCACAAGCAAGACTTTTCAGGAAAGCCTCAGGTTTTACCCCAGAGATACATATAAATTTTGCTTCCTACTCCTCAATATTCTGGTTTTTTACTAACTGGAAGTTCCACAAGGACAAGAATAGTATCCAACATTTACGAAGTAGTTACTGGAATTCTTCAAGAAGTAGTTATCCAAGTTAATACATGTAAATGTTTAATTTACTTACCAGCAGGAAACTGACCCTCCAGGAAGACAGTCATGTCTTTATTATTTATTATGTGGCTTTTGGTATTCCCTATTACACTGTTCCGCACCCTTGCGTATGCCCAGATCCAAATTTGAGAAGCATTTTCTTAGCAAGATACCTGAAACCACAGAAGGTACTCGGTAAATAGTAACTCTTGTTATCATTGTCATTTCTCTGTTCAACACTTTTCTACCCTGGTGTTGCTAAGGCTTTGTGGACATTTTTTAAAAGAAATTATAAAGAATTCAGAAGACAAGAGTCCGGGCTGCAAAGGAGCCTGTGTGTCTCTAACCACATAACTTCACCCACTTAGAGCTCCATTTTTTATATGTTTTCTTCATTTCCAGCTTCAATTTATAATGTTTTATTAAAACGTTCTAGAGGCAAAGAGCAGTAAGATTGAAAGAGGATTTCTCCCTACTGTGCCTATGCCAGAGACTACTAACCTGGGATTCATGGGTGGCCTTCATGGAGTCTGGGAACTCCCTGAACTTGATATTTTTGAGGCATTTTCTGAAAAAACAAGATTTCTTGAGGTCAGGAGTTTGAGACCAGCCTGAGTAAGAGTGAGACCCTGTCTCTACTAAAATTAGAAAAACTAGAAAAACTTAACTGAGCATTGTGGTGGGCTCTGGAGGCTGAGGCAAGAGGATTACTTGAGCCCAGGAGTTTTAGGTTGTTGTGAGCTGGACTGATACTACAGTACTCTAACCCTGGCAGTAGAGTGAAACTCCATCTCAAGGGAGGGAGGGAGGGAGGACAGCAGGAGGGAGAGAAAGGGGAGGGAGGGAAGGGGAAGTTAGAGAGTCAGGGAAGGGGAAGGGAAGGGAGGGAGAGAGGGAGAACATTATGTAAATTGAAATTAGAATTGACTAATCTTTAAAATTACAATTAATAATACTTTTAGTTCCTTGGAGATTGACATAATATAATTTTTACTTAGAAATTATAAAACTAAGATTAGACTTCACCATAAGTCACTCTTTTTCCTCCTCTCTCTACTTATCCTCCACCGTGTTTTAATGTTCTGAATTATTTAGGCTCAACATTTTTATATTCTTTGCTAGATATTTGTGCTTTGAATCTAGCATGCTGAAAGCAAATATTTTTAATCTTTGTGGAATTATTATAGATAATTCTTTGCATTTCAAATAAAAACAACTTATCGACATACAAAGTGAGAGGCACTTAGGTGCAACGAGCACATAAATAACAATTTATATGTAATAAAATAACAATTTGAATTGAGCAAATACGAATCTTTGTGTATGAACACATACTCTCAGAATGTATAGCAAGTTACATTTCAATCAAGTAGGGAGTCTTCTGACCATTTATGAACATTTATAATATAAATTGCATTAAAAACTCTGAGATTAAAATTTAGCTTTAGTATTAAATTAGGACTTAGTATTATTGTTTTACACTAATATATAAGGACAATAATTATGCCCAATAAAAATCTTCAATTTAACTTGCTTTGTCTTAGACTGTGACATACCTGCTATGTTATTTTCCCTCCATCTTGAAGTCTTGTCATTGACAGCCAGCCTGTGTGTTCACTTGACCATCAGGAAAGACATTTCTTCATTCCAGAACTTGGATGTATTAGTCCATCTGGGTATACTAATCTCTTGGATCACATCAAAAATTTAATTTTGACTAATTTTATGAATAAATGCTTCTTGAAATTTAGAAAAGAAAGTTATATTCTTAGATAGGAGAACATAAATGCTAAGTATAGTTTTTAAAGAGCCTGTACATTATTGAGTTATCAGAAAAATGATGATTGAACATACTTCATAGAAAATTACTAAGCCTATTTTCTCCTTTCTCCAAAGACTGAGAAAGAAAGTATGCTCGAAAAGGGGGAGTGACAGAAAGGAAAACAGATAGGAAGGCAGGAAGGAGGACAGAAGAAAGGAAGGAGGAGAAAGAGGGGAAGGAGAGGGGGAAGCAAGGGAAAGTGGATAGGGAGGGAGGAAGACAGAGAAAGTTACAAACTGCATCCATGCGTGGTCCAATATCCTGGATTGTGAAGAAGACAGAACATAGCAAAACAGAGTTTTAAAGTCTTTGAAGACTAGTCAGTCTTTTTTTATATTTCAAATTTATATGTACTTCCAATAAATCATATATAATCTAATTATCTTGCTTAAAATTTTCATTAAACTCATCAATTTTGTGAAACAGTTTGAAAGCGATGGAGATCTCCAGCCTCTCTAGTGTTGCATGCGTCATGATCGGGGCTGCAGATTTCTACCTTAACTCTTCTTATCACCATCTTTCACACCTGCACGTGCATGGGTAGAGCTGCACACTGGCCACAAAAGGGAAATCATTTCTCTGGCGAAATCTTTACAAATTGTGCATTTGACCAGAAAACTTTCCAGGAGGGAAGGTCTCTTTAATTTCTTGTTTTCTGTTTTAACATTTTTCAGAGCGAAGTTATTTAATCAGGTCCTTCTACTTGATTTCCTTTGATAAAGTTTATTTCACATGTTTATGGAGACTTTATGTGAAGTGGTTAAAATCACGGTGTCAGAAAGACAAAAATGTAGTCAGTATACGTTAAGTCCCTGGGTCTGATATTGCTTCTGTTTTATCTTCCTGTAAGAGAAGCTATCAAAACAATGGTGGGCCGACCAGTCCCATAGTAGTTTATTTGGCACGTGACTTAAGACCTGAACTGCCATGTGAGTTGTATTTAACACATGCTAGTTTGGGGCCTGGAGCCTGGTGCAGCTGATACACCTCAGCTCATTGTTTTTGCTGTCCATGGGCAGGTCTCTTCCACCTCCTGTCGCCCTGCTCCAGCCAACCACCCCTGTGCACCCATGTGCTGGACTCCGTTCTCTGGTTACCATAACTTCCAGCTGCACATTTGCCTGATGGCTCTTTGAATGACTTTTTGCTCTTTGAATGAAATCAACAGGCTTGCATGCAGCAATGTGATACTGCTGCACATACTTAGCAGGGTATGACTCAGAGGGCATCATCCAGAACCGCCCAGAGTCCACTGCAGGTACCAGTAAATACTTGTAGAATGAGAAAAGACTCAATTTTCAGAAACAAATTCAATAAGGATGTCGTGAGTCACATACAACTCATGTGTCATACGGTGTAAAAATTGATTCTAGCAATGTGTGAATTACATATAACTCGTGCATAGAAAACAAAACATAATTTTTTATAAAATTGGAATCGATTTAATTTATTAAATTGCATATAACTCACACATGGAGAACAAAAAATAACATTTTTATTATGCTAGAAAGGTTTTACACATAGTCTATTTTTATAATAAAACACCACGGCTCCAAGGAAAAAACATTTTTTTCTAGTGTGGCAATCAATGTGTTAAAGATTGAAACATAGAAGGAGAAACTGTTAAGGTCAGATCCTCTCAAACCTGAAATTTCATTATTAAAGATGTGTTTGGGGAACAGATACTTTAGTTTAAAACCACTTTATCAGACTATTTCCCAGCATAGAGGGGACAGTATAGGCCAGTGACAAGGGGTCAGGAGTCTGTGTCAGAGGGAAGGCAAGGAAGCAGGTCAGACTGGGCAGTGTTCTCAGCAACACCAAAGCTTAGCAACATACAGATGTCTTGAATTTGTTCAGAGAGTCTTCTACATGTTAAGCGTGATACATTTACTATCCAAAGAGCCAAATTTTATCAAGATTTAATTCACCTTTGTCAAAGTTAGCTAAAGTTAACTGTGTACTATATAGTGAAGCTTTTACCTGCTCGAGTCGGTGCTGTCCAACAGAACTTTGCGCAGTAATAGAAACACTGTGCTGTCCAATTAGGCACTTAAAGTGTGGCTAGTGTTTACTAGCTTCATAGTAAACTTTAAGGAATTTCAACTTAAATAGACAAATGTGTCTAGTGTATTGAACAGTAGTGCAGCTTTGAAAATGCTGTATGTTAGAGACTGGAAGGAAATTGACAAAGATCCTGGCACTCCTTTTGCTGGAAAGTACTATACTGGTCATCATAGGAGAGGGTCACACCTCTGGAAAATTTTTATTAAGCTGCATAGCCTTCATTTGGGGCTGCAGGTAGCAAAAAGAGCTCCTTTCAAAACAACTAGTCCCATCTAGACCGAGATTTGCTTTCCTTCTTCCCCTGTACCCTTGTTTTTAATTCCCTGTTTTTTCCTTGATTTTCAGTTCTTTGACCATCAGTCTGTGGCCTGCCTCTGCTCCTTATGTAAGTAAATGTGGTTTTTTACCTTTTAAAAAAAGTTTCACATGTGGGAAATTTGGGGGGGAGGTTGGTATTTTGGTAGTTGACTTTGTTGTGGTTTTCAGTATTTCTTTAGTAGGCATTAGCTTCTTTTTGTTTGGAGTTGATGCTGTTGGTGGTAGTGGTCAGTTGTTATCTATGAGGTGTCTAAAGAGACTGGTGGCCCAGCCTCTGTTCCTGTATCAAGAATACCTTTATTTCACTGCAGCTTCTGTTTGCAAAAGTCATGACTCTCCCAAGCTATTGCTCATGTTACTTAGCCAACTACCAGCAACACTTGGGCTTTTTGCTCCACTGTCAATCACTGGGCAATTATTTGCTTTTCATTTATGCACCTATCCCTAGGTCCAATAGTTTTTTAATTTTACCATATATATCAGAGCTTTTGTTTCTTGACAAAATTTCTAATATCATTTAACTAAGGAGTACAAAAACTGAAAAGTAAATAGGTTAAAATTTTGTGCAAAATTGTAAAATCTGGGAGAAAAATATAAATCTAGGATTTACACGTGTCAAAGGGTTTATAGAAGGTACCATTCTTTTTTTTTTTTTTTAGAACAGATGAGAAGGCATTTGGAGGGAGAAACAAAATTTGATTTTATATGAACAAAGAGAACATTTATTATCTGAAGCCCAAATTGGCTTCACTGAATGGGTTGGGTTAAATTTTACTTTACGCTGCTTAAAAGAGGTTCTGGGGCAGTGAACCCAAATAATCAAAGTAACTGTAAGAGATACCACCCAAGAGATCCTACAGGTAACAACAGTCTCCTAATGTGATAAACAGGCCTCGGCATCCTCTGGCTGCTTTCACTCTCTGGTGAGCACTGTCCCTTAATCACAACATCACATCTCGCTTCACTGACTCCCCACTCTGAGCGATTTCTTGTGTTAGAATCATTTGCACAGAAAGGAGGTTCCCATGGCTATTTTTCTTGTGTGTGGCTTCCACTCACATTCCTAGAAGCTGGTGGCAAATATATTTAGAGGAGCCGAATCCTCCGAAGGATGCTAAGGGTAAAGTCTAATGTGACAGTTTATTTGACAGAGAAAGGAGGCTGATTAAACTCCCCAAAGACTGGTGCTGTGTGTAATGCATTTATACAGCAGGGGTGGGTCCTACCTGCCCCTGATAAGTCTTGTTATTCTCTGTTCTCGGTGTTGATGGAGTGGGTCTGTTCATGCTTTGGAGGATGTCAACGTGCACGCTCATGGTTACCACTTTATGTCTCCACAACCCTCCCCTCAGTTACTTAGCACGGCATATTTCTAGTCTCTGGCAAATCATTTTTGTTACAGTTCTTTTGTGTAAAAACAGTTCACATAATAGCTCTGTGTTAGACAAGGCATTAATCCTCACATCACCGGGATGAGTCAGCACAGTGCACTCCTGCCCTCACGGCTCAGCTATTATGACGTCAGTGCTATAGGGCGAGCCTCAGGCACAGCAGAACACAGGACTTGTGTCACTGATTGGAAATCAAGGGGGAGACCTTTGAGATAAAAAAAAATATATTGAAAGGTTGTCTCTGGCTCATAGGAAAATCTGACACTGACTCTATGCTACATCAACCACCAGTTACAGAGCTTCCAGAGAAATTCTATTTTTTAAACCAGAGATAAGGCTGGAGGAATGACCTGCAGTGAGCTGATAGTCCATTCATGTACCATGACCTTGTCCCACCCCATGCCGGGCTTCATGTTTGCTTAGATTATTCTAAATCCTGAGGCTGCCCTTATGCTGGCAGGCCTGTGACAGTTCTGCTGTCCTGAAGTGCCCCCTTGGACACAGCTGATGGCCCCAGGGGTGGTACCCCAGAGGCCCCATCAAAGGGAAAAAGTTCCTTGGGAACAGATGAGAACATTATCTTCTCAGTGCACTCCAAGTGCCTCTTCAATGCCCCCTGCTAAACAGGTGCAGAACTCTGCCTGCTCAACCTCTCCTCTTGGCACTGTGTTTAGTCTAGTGTCCCAATGTGGATTTGACTGAGATTTCAACAGGAACTGAATAGTTGCCAGATGTTCCCCCAAGAGTGTTCCATTCCATTACTGTTTAGCACAAACAAAAAGGCCCCCTTCATAACCTGCCATGCTTCCTTGAAGAAGATAGCACAGACTCACCCTTTTAAGAAACGCAGTTCTTGTAAGTTGCAGGCCCCTTTACAGTTCAGACTCACATTTATAATCAGAACAATGCCTTTTAGTATTGGAAATTAGGTGTTAAAAAGGGTCCTAATTTATAGGCTTAGTGATATTCTCTGTTAAAAGACATTCTTCCATCACAGCATCCATCCCTCACTCTTACTGTCACCCCAGCCAGGCACCAGCCCCTGTGATACCCATCAGAAAGTGCCTTACTGCTGGGATCTTCTGCCTTCATTAGGTTGCTAATGGGCTCCTACCATGACTCTAAAAGCTAATACTACTGGTTGGCTTAGTTTTGATTAATTATCATGCATAGCTCTTATTTAGTTTTCAGTCAACAAACATTTATGTAAATTTAGTCACTATGCTTCACTACACTTGGTTCTGGGAACTCCAAGATAAATAAAATATCCTTCCTTTCACTAAGAATCTCAGTAATTTCAGTAAGTGAATAAAGGTGGTAGCCATGGGAATGCAGGTACATATAAGATGTAATGAGAGGAGAGAGGAAGGTGTACCCACTTGCATGTGGACAAGTGCCCAAGCTGGGTCTTAGAGTTGAATGAACTGCAGTTTGCCAGGTGGATATAGGAGAGCAGAAAGAAAAGGCGATCATAATAACGTGGAAAGTAAGACCATTTACAATGTCAGGAGGCATTAAGCAGCAGTCAAATCCAGAGGTCAGGTGGCTGAAGAATGGTGTTTGACAGGGGAGATGGGAGATTAGAAAGCAGACAGGAGACAGATTGCAGAGGGCCTTGTATGCCATGCAAAGGAGTTTGGACTTGATCCTGCAGGCTCAAGAGGCTAGGAAGAATTTTAAACAGATTTATGTTTTAGATAGAATACTCTGGTGATAGTAGAAATGCCTGGCTGAGAATAGGGAGACCAGGTCAAAGGTGAAAACCCAGGACCTGACCTGTGCTGTAGGGGTAGAGTGGAAGGGAGAGGCCATTTGCTAGTGTTGACATAGACATTAACATTTGCATACTTCCAACATATCTTGGACTATTGCATAATCTTTGCCTTCTAGGAGAAAGGCTGAAACATTGTATGAGGCCAAATTTCAGACCAAAATATATCCTCATGGGATCTTCAGCAAAGACCTAACTGACTTTGACTCTGACCCCACTCTTAGCCACTGCCTACTGGTCTCCAGGGGTATATGTCTCCTTCTCTGCACGGTGGATATGGGGAGGAGCAGGCAAATGCAGAGAAGACGTTCTCAGTGTCCTGCTTTTCTCTTCTCTCACCTGAAAATGAAACAGTTTCTAAATAATGTCCCTTTAAAGTCAATCAGTCCCCCCAGTTCCCTATCATTTTCCCATTGCTGCCTTTTTCTAAGCAAAATTTCCAAGCCATTGATCTGAATTGCAACTTATGCACAGCCGGGTGTTGAAACAATTCAGTGTATTCATTCCTTCTCTCTGAATTAGAGTTCACCATAAGTGTGCTTTTCTCTTGTTCACTTTGGGCTGCCAGGACAATTTAAAGGAAATTTTCAACAGCTTATGTCTCATGTTCTCTTTTGCAAATGGGAGGATATGTGTGGGTGTATTTAAGTCTTGTCTATATTGCTTTCTGGAGAAAGGTTGGAGAAGATGAACAAGATGAGGAGTAGGGACCTACTGAAAGCCCAGGTCCCCCAGTGACCTGAGTGCAGAACGTAGGCTGGTGATCAGATGGTCAATTATGTGTTTGTCAAAACACAGTGGGCTGCATTCCAGACTGCCAGCTTTGGAGGCCCAGCTTCTGCCAACCAAATGTCATCTGGGAACATGCAACACTGGGCACTGTGAAGGAGTTTGAAATAGACCATGCCACAGCCAACCTACTGCCAGTCTTATAGCACCAATATGGCATGCACAGCCGGGCCCCATGTTTCAGAGCTCAGGAATTCACTGTACTAAATTCACGAGGTCAGATGGGTTCATGTTTTCAAAGCCTATGTTCTCTGCTTTGAACACTGTGACTTACTCTTCAGCAATTTCCAAGAGATTTTTCCAGTCACATCTCTGTGGAAACTACTCTTTTTATGATGGTTATAAGAGCCTTGTAACTGTCCCAGAGGACAGGGGAAAAAAAATAAACTTGCTCTGACAATGACTGTGATTCCAACAGAGGGATTCCAAGTCTTAGGAAATTACATTAAAGGTGCATAGCTTTTAAAATATCAGGAACCACCTTGGCAACTTATAAAAAGCAGAAGGGCTTTGCCTATTTTATAAAATGATTTGCATATACCTGCATAAATAATGTCCCCACCTGTACTTTTATGCATTTAGGTTGAATAAATTAAATTCCATGATCTTTAAAATATTCACTGTCTTTCATTGCTCAGACACCATTTTCAGGACCCTTTCTCCTCATTTTTTTTTCCTGTTGTGGTAGTAGTGGCTATTGTATAAATCTCTCAGCTAATTCAGGGAGTCAAAACAGTCCGCAGGCCAATCTACTGTAGCCAGGAACATTACCCCTATCTGCTTGCATTTCTTTTAGCCTTTCTATCTATAAGACCATGCATTCAATATATTTTTCTTAAGGGAAAATGAGAGAGTATGTGACTCAGGCAGAAACACAGCACAAGGTGAGATTATGCTCTTCTTCCTGTCAGACTTGCACTGATACACACCCAAGGACATGCCCATATTAACCTTTTCTTTCCTCGGCCACTGCCACAATCCCCTCAGCTACCAAGCCATTTCAGATATAACTTCAAATTAAAGCCTGGACAGTGGACCAGCCCCAACCACATTTGTTCCTGTAAGATATTATTAAACACTTACTATCTTACTATATACAAAGAATCTGTTAAGTAG